TAAATGTGTCATCTAAACCATCCACTTAAATTCTCAGTCTATATTCTCATAATACAAAAGGAAGTGGAGTGCATGATCTTTCATAAGTCTCTAACACTTATGAAAGATCTAACACTCTGAGTCGAAAGCTTTAGGGAAAAAAATAGAATGCATTGGTTTAAACCTTGGCTAAACATTTATACCATATAGGAATCTTTTGAAGACTTCACTAACTGGGAAAAACATTGGATCCATTGTCTCAGCTTCAATAAGAGCCTGTCAAACCTCACATATTCCCACTACAATTTCGCTTAGCTAGACAAGGGCTCTTAGATACTATGCCATCCCCAGGGAAAGAAAAGGGTGATGGTGTTATCTGTGGCTTCTTTCAAAAGAATGAGATAGTAAGGTTGATGTACTCTTTCAAAGTAATTTCATCAAAAATTTTTTTCAGGATTGATTCCCAATTTATCATTTTCATCTTTACAGCAATACACTAAAAACTATACTGAGTCTGCAACCAATCCTAATAAAAATGGTATTTTTTAAAAATGATACATCATTTTGGACTTGAAGAAATACTTATAAACCAGTACAATTATGTAATTTTCTTCTTTCCTGCTTCTATTGATGCTCTCTTTGTTCTGCCTTAGCCCAAATTGACAGGGCTGTGCTTTTTCTATTTTGAAATTCAATACATTTCAAACTGGGACAGATCAAGGACAATCTTACCAAGAAGTGCCTAGCGATAGCCTCAAGAGAGATATTTTGGGGGACAAATATGTGTCTTCCATGCAATTGTAACTGTAAAGGAAGTAGATACATAGCTTTCCCTAATTTCTCTTTTTTTTAAAGATTTATTTATTTATGCATAGAAGAGCTGGGGTACAGACCAGCGGTGTGGGGCATGAGAGGATTCACCAGAGACAGGGTGGGGAACAGAACAGGCAGATTGACCAAATTACACTGCTGAGGGGTGCAGCTGGTGAGTCAGGAGAGATCTTCTGCGCCATGTTGTTTTTTCCCTGGCAGGCTGGGGGATTGAACTCGTCCTACAGAGGCTGCAGACAGCTTCATAGGTTGCCTCTTAACCTCTTGTGCCACCAGGGAGGCCCCAGCTTTCCCTAATTTCTTTTCTTTTCTTTTTTTTTTTTTTTTTTTAAGATTTGTTTACTTATTTATACAAGCACTAGGTACAGTCAGAAGCGCGGGAAGGTGAGAGAATTCACCAGAGACAGAGCAAGGAACAGAACAGGCAGAGTGACAAAACACACTGCTGAGGGGAGCAGCGGGCGTGGCAGGAGACATCTGTCACACCATGTGGGACCCTCACCGGTGGCTGGGATCAAACTGGCGCTGCAGAGACTGCGGGCAGCTTCTCAGCTCAGCGCTCAACTGCTACACCACCAGGGGAGGACCTTTCCCTAATTTCTTTATGTGAGCCTGTCATTCCAAAATTTATATAAACCCTTCATGTCTATATTGTTTTAATGTTAATAGTAATGAGTCCAGTTTATGTATAAAAAGGCATTTCCTTCCCTATGTCCTAAAAACTACCTGCTGTTAAGGATCCCTTTACTTACACAGAATCAAAATTCCTTGTATACAGACTTGGATCTCTGCCACTTAGCAGATATATGACCTTTATACTAACATCATGTCCACAGCAACTGGCTTAATAGTTATAAGTCACTACTGGACAAACTCCTTTAGAGCAGTTTTGCCTCTTTGAACATGCACAGGAAATTTTAAAGCAATAGCTAACACGTTTCATGCCAGGCACTGGACTAGCACTGGATTAGCATTTCCTCATTAATCATCATTACACATAGTCCCCGACTTAATGATGGTTCAACTAATGATTTTTTTATTTTATGATAGTGCAAAAGCAGTGACTGGACTTTGAATTTTGATCTTTTCCCTGGCTAGTGATATGTAGTATGAAACTCTCTCCAGATGCTGGGTAGTGGTGTTACAGGGCAGGGGACTCCACCCTCCTTTTGGGTGGGGCAGGAAACCTGGAACCCCCCCCTTTCCTGGGGACCACCCTGTTACAGTGGCAACCAGGAGCAGCTCCCAATTAGTCATGCAATCATGGGCGTAAACAACCATTCCCTTCTCCACGTTCAGTACAATGTTCAATAAATTACATTGCAAATTATAAAAGAGGTGGTAGGTGACTTTGCCCACCTGTCTGCTATCATCAGCATTCTGGGCATGTTTAAGGGTTGACTGGGCTAAACTGTGATCTTTTGTAGATTAGATGCAGTGAATGCATTTTGACTATATTTTCAATTTACAACAGATTTATTGGGAAGTAACACCATTATAAGTGGAGGGAGAGCTGTACGGCTATCCCTGTTTTACAAATGAAGAAAGTGAAGCTTTGAGGAGTAAAGGTCAAGGCTGGTATGTGCCTGGGATTGGCAGGTAGGTCTTTCTGACTCAAATCTCATTCTTGGAAATAAACGAGTTAGCGAACATTGTTTTGATTTGTATACATCCCCAGCAGATCACTGCTCCTGTCCTTGTATTCCAGAATGTAGAACTTAGTGACTTTTGGTTTCCCTTCATATTAAAGCCTGTCAACCTCTTTTATCACTTTCATTATCCTAAAAGAGCCCTTGAATATTCCTAATCTTTGAAGACTTCCAGTTACTGAACTGTTCTGTCTTTTCTTCGTTTAATATTATTGAGCGCCAACTGTGTTCAAGGAGACATATGGCAAGGAAGACAAAATACGCCTTTAAGGAGCTGTAAGATTACCACATTGGAGGAGGGTGGGCTTAAGTTAATCATACATAGACAGCATGCATGTTTCCTACATGAGTCCTAACTCAACTATGAGAAAAGGGTTTTTTTAAACTCCTGAGCATTTACTTCCTACATATACAAGAGTTGTCAGTCTGCGTCATTTTGTGCTTGAGACTCTAGTTGGATATATTCCCCACAGAACAATCGTCAATGCTTTGCATCAACTAGCTGTGGAACCAAGCTTAGCCAAGTTTTCGCCATTTTGTATATCTTCCACCTTGATATGTTAGTCCCTGTACAGCTGCATTCTGGAGATAAGTTTCAATAGTCACAACCCTCACTCCACTTGGTGACGAAAAAGCAGACCACCCTAGCTGCCAATGAGGGTAGTCCTATCCATAAATGGGACAGCATCACTAACCGTCCAATCAGTTTGAAACTATAACCGTGCGTACCAAAATGCCTTTGTAGTAGCCAATGAGTAATTGCCAGCCTCTTTCAAAATTCGCTCCGCTCGTGACCCTACAATAGACCCCTGCTTCCTCTGTTCGGGGCTCTCGCTATCTGCCATTGCATTGGTAGGTGCGGTGAGCCCAGACTCCCATTTGCATTTGCATCAGCTATCTTTGGATTCTTGGAGGCTATGCTCACCAAGTCTGCTGATCTTGCGCACAACACTTGCCACATAATTTCTGATTATCTATCTATTCTATAAACAAGTGAGGGGCTGTTCACAGTATTCACTGTCACAAAGGGCTTCTGACACCTTCTTCTTCCCAGAACCCTCCCTGACGTGGGTGAGATTGTTATAGGGCAGCCCCGACATTGAACAGGTTGCCTGCCTGTGGGTCCTCACCCACGCGCTTACAAGGGACTTATTAATACTCCACTACAGGCACACACAAAAGGTTAATAAGCGGTTTATTTACAAGGGAAAAGGAAATAAGGAAAATGTACAACTCAGGGAGAAAATAGGGAAATAAAGTCTTTAATGCGTCCTACCCGATCCGCCAACCTGGAAACCCAAAAAGCACTCTCCAAGTTGGCCAGACACTGCGAGCTGGCGGAGAGTCAAAATGGACCCCCCCTCAAAGCCCACGTGTCTGGCTTTATACCCACCTGGCTGCTTAACCCCACCCTCAGGTCCCAGCCACCTTCCCTTCGGTGGTGATGGGATTTGGAGTTCCCAGTGTCTTTGGCTTTGGCCTGGGGTGGGGGTGGAGTCCACAAAGCCGGTATGGAATTAGCTTTAGGACATTCTTTTCCCCCTAACAAGATGATAGCTCTCCAGACCCCATACTGCCATTCCTGGCCGCCCCCGCCTGTGTAAGCTTCGTGAGGGGCGCCACGAGACGCACAAGAGGCGCAAGGCCCTGATGGGAGATCGCCAGGGAAGAGGAATGAACTGAACACTCAGTCTCCCGACAGCCGTAGGCGCCCCTTGGGGCGGGGGCGTGCCCCGTATCCCTCAGCCCGCTGTCAAAACCCCGCCCAGCGCGTGCTCGGGACGCAGCATTCGCGGGGCTCGCCACGGCTCCCCGACGGGAAAGAACGAGAGAAACCTGGGGTAACCCTGGGCCAAGCAACCGCTTGGCCTTCGAGGGCTATCACGGGCCCCCGCACGAACACAAAACGCCCAGCCGTCAACCCTGACGCAGCCCCTCCGCGCCTGCGAATGACGTACAGCCGCTACCGGCGCCCCAGCCAATCCAGGGCCCGTTTTAGGTCGCCCCACCCGCCGTGCGCACGCACGGACTTCCCCGACCGGCACTCATCCCGCCCACTCCCGCGTGCTGATCGCTGCCTTCTGATTGGTGGGGGCCGTCTGGAGGCGGGACCGGGAGAAGCCGGCTGGGGTACGGGCAGGGGTTCGGGGCCAGGCTCTGCTGGCGTCTGAGGGGGCTCCGAGTCCTGGGTGAGTGCAGTTTGAGTGGTTGCTGGGTCCCGGGGAGCCAGGAGTGCACGGCGGACAGAAGTGGGGTAGCGCCTGGCTGGGCCGAGAGCCCCTTGGGAGGTTGGGGGCCCGTCGGGACTGGATGGGGGGCGATGCCCGCGGGGGAGGCCTGGCGGGCTCGGGCCCGACGGGTGGGCTAGGCCTGGCCGGGCGTCCCGGGAACGGGCCTGGCGCCTTGTCAGGTGGGGAAACCGCGGCCTGCGCGGAGATGGGCAGAAGTTTGTGGAGTAAACGCCGGGACGGAAGACTCGCCGATGGGGCGGCACGGAGAAGCCTGTGGAGGGGCGCGGGGTGACGTCAGAAGCCGGAGCCCGGGCGTCCGCCGAGCAGGGGCCGTCCCTGGCCGTCCGCGGTAGCGGCTCCTGAGCGGTGGGTGAGGAGGGCTGGGGAGGGCGCGCGCTCGGCCCCGGAGGCCGGACAAGGTCACAGGGAGAGTGAGGGGGAGAGTGAGGGGGGGAAGTTGAGAGATTGCGGGCCGGGCGGAAAACCACGCGACCTTCCCGTCCGCCGCTCGCTGTTCTCTGGCCGAGCGTTTCCTCCGCCCCCGTCCCGGGCAGGTGCGGAGGCCTCGGGGTCTGGGGGAGCCTCTGCGACGGCCTTGGCTTTCCTGCCTCAAGTACGCGCCCCAGTTCGAGATGCGCAAACATGCAGGGGTGCACTGGGACCTGCCGGCGGGCCTCGACCTCAGCACTCGGGGTTCTCTGTTATTCCCGGGGCGGGAAGCTGCCTTCCCTCTCGAGAGGAACCCCTGCGGGAGGAGAATAGGCTCCCGGGAGTGCCCGGGCACTTTCCAGCCTGACGGCCTCTCGGTTTTGACAGATTGGAGCGGTGCCTTGCCCCATCGTGAAGGAAGCGGGGGTCGTCCACCCGCACACCGGGGGCTTTCTTGCTTCCCTCTAAGTCAGAATCACTGGGAGTAGGGAGAGGATTCTTAAAATGAACCCTTGGGCCCTGCCCCCAGACCCTCTGAATGAGAATCTCCAGGGTGGGGCCTCGGCAGCCATTTTAAACAAGCTGACAGGTGATGATGCAAAATCAAGGTTTGAACTATTGTTTTAGGTAGTAGTTTCTGTCACCAAAATGACAGACTCTGAATATCCTTTAGTCTTTTGCATCATCCGGGCAGCTCATCTTCTCTTACCCCTTTTCTAAGATCCCAAGTATTTGGATATGTCTTTAAAAGGTTACAAAATAACTCCTGGCTTCTAAGTTGGCTTTGAATATCTGATGGTTCCTGCCTCTTTGCACCTGTTCAACTTTCTGACAGAGAGCTGTCAATTGTTGTAGGTGAATAAGAAAAAAATATTAAAGGAAAATGTAGAACTTGCGCTGGTGAAAAAACTTTTCAAATCACAGTTGAAGTTGAATGAATTAAGTTGGGAGAAGTTTCCATTTCATTTTTTTAAAAGATGCAGGCTTTTGTTGAGAAATGGATTTTAATATTTCTCAGATTATATACCAGCATCATAAAAATGTGTATGTGTGTTGTTCTTTTATAGACAGGAGACAGCCATCACCCCTCCCTCTTTTGAGGAGGGCAGGGAAATCTTTTGCTCAGGTCACCTGTTGGATAGTGATCCAGATGTGAGATAATTAGAGAAAAAACTACCAACTTTCTTGCTTTTAAAGACAATTTCCAAAAGACTTCTTAGTTTTGGAATAATTAAGACAAAGGAAGAAAACATGCTTTATATCTGCAAAAGAAGGTAATTTTTTTAAAGATTTTTTTTATTTATTTATGCATACAAAAACTGGGGTACAGGCCAGAGGTGTGGGGAGTGAGAGGATTCACCAGAGACAGAGTGGGGAACAGAGCAGGCAGATTGACTAAAGTACACTGCTGAGGGGAACAGGGGGGAGTCAGGAGAGGTCTGCTGCACTGTGTGGGTTGCTCCCTGGCTGGCTGGGTATGGAGCTGGTGCTGCAGTGGCTGCGGATAATTTCATAGGTTGCGTCTTAACCGTTGGTAGCACCAGAGAGGCCCCTTTAAAATTTATTCAACAGACATTCAGTGGCATACTTATTACTTGCATGGCATCATGCCAGGCATTGAAGATAATAACTAGGGTAGGTGTAGCCCCTGACTTAAAGGATTCTTGCTGGAAAAATAGTTACACAGGCATTTATAAATGCCTGCCCTCCTTAAAAGAGGGAGGGGTGATGGCTGTCTCCTGTCTATAAAAGAACAACACACATACATATAGAGAAAGTATAGGGACTGCATAACCAAAGCACTTATCCAAAAAAAAAAGCTTTCCAGAGGCGGTCAGTTGAAATAACCTGAAAAATGGGAGGAATTAGCCAGGACTCCCTTATTATATGGATAAGTTTACAGGCAGGTCAACCAACTATGAAGAAAGAAGTGTTACATAATTACTCTGACTAAGTTAAAAATGAATTTATTGACTCTTGATAAAATGCTTATTTCAGGTGACTGAAAGAGGAGAATGGCGCTTTTGGTCCCTGTGATAATGGAAATGAATCTTTTTTTTCCCCAGACACTTTAGTCATATAACTATAGAGCTAGTGACTTTTTCTTTTGTAACATTTCAAGAAATAAATTATAAAAGAAAGTAGAGAATTTTAAGAGGGATAACCAATGTATATGAAGTATATAGGGGAAGGATATTCTGAAGCTTAGAAGATAGTTATTAAGAAGATCCCCAGGGGTAGTTTAATGCTACAGTAATATTAAAAAAATAACCATAGATCATAAAAAGCTAAAAAACTGTTATGTTCATTTAATATAAATAAATAGCTTTTAAAAGGAGGCTTTTCTAGCATAGTATCTAAAATAAAGTTTGGTCCTTTAAAGGAATAAATAATGAACTAAGTAAGTTGCTAAGTAAATAGTATTAGAAATTCTGGTTGTTAAGAATAACTGTAATCTTGCTCAGAGACAACCACCATCGATAGGAGAGGTAAGTGTAATAGGTTAGAAACTATTCAGAAGTGAAAACCGAAGTAGCACATTGGAGAAAATAAATCTGTCTTTGAAGTTAGCCAGTTACAATTGAAAGCAATAAAGATTATACTTAACTATACTTTAAAATGCTTAGTGTGATTTTTCAACGTGATATTGAAGAGATAGTAAGGAGAATCAGTTTGGTTTGAGTAATTTAAAGTTACCTAGTTGAATATAGTATTTTAAAGGAATCGATTGTGTGGGAGAATAAACATTCAACCCTCCCTAAATGTGACTAGAGATTAAAAATACAGTTATTTTCTAAGAATATTTTTAAAAGTTCATGGATAACATACCAAATTTTTATGGAAACTTGGATTATCTTAAATACATCCAGTCATTTAACATTTTAAATGCTTTTAATTGTAAAACTTTCTGGAAATTCTGTTTCAGGAAGATTCTTCAATCACAATGTCATCCAACCAGGACATTTCTCTGTCTTCATATGATGAAGGTCAAGGATCTAAACTTGTTCGAAAGGCTAAAGAGGCACCATTTGTCCCCATTGGTGAGTTTGAGGGTCTAATAATCAATCTTTTGTAAGCTTTAATCTATTAGAAGTGTGGTCAACTCATACAGCACATCCTGAAAGCATGTATTTCCTAATATTTTATCATATGTTGATATTTGCTGGTATTGGTTCAACTCTCATTACAAAAATTCTCTTGCATATTCAGACTTCTTGTTTTAGTAAGTCTTATTTTAGTGAATATGTTGAGACCCCCAAGACTGCCTAGTCTCAGTGGTTTGTGAGGAGGACTCAAGACTCAGAAAAATATTATACTCGCAGCTATGGTTCATTATAATCTCTGCTGTATTAAGTTATTTCTTTCAGGGAAGGAAGTAGGACGGAGAGGAAGAGGTCCCCTGGCACTCTTTTAAAGGTTCCAGGAACCCACATTTTATTTTTTATTTTTTTAAAGATTTATTTATTTATTTATACAAGCACTGGATACAGTCAGAAGCGCGGGAGGGTGAGAGAATTCACCAGAGCCAGAGCGGGGAGCAGAGCAGGCAGAAGGACCGAAGTACACTGCTGAGGGGAGCAGCGGGTGGCAGGAGAGGTCTGCGCGCCATGTGGGACCCTCCTCCGGTGGCCGGGGAGCAGCCAGGGATCGAACCGGCGCCGCAGAGGCTGTGGGCAGCTTCGCAACCCAGCGCTCAACCGCTGCGCCACCGGGGAGGCCCGAACCCACATTTTAAAGATGATCTTAACTTTCTGAATCTGCTACTGTTTGCTATCAGTTATGGATTTTGGCTCTTAGGGGAGGAGAATTAAAAACTTAAATTGTATGTAAACTGTGGTCTGGTAAAGCATTCTTATAAAATAGAGAAAGTACATTCGTTTTTTCATTTTTTTTTTAAGATTTATTTATGCATATAAGAACTGGGGTACAGGCCAGAGGTGCAGGGGGTGAGAGGATTCACCAGAACAGAGTGGGGAACAGAACAGGCAGACTGACCCAAATACACTGCTGAGGGGAGCAGCAGGTGAAACAGGAGAGGTCTCCTGTGCCATGTGGGTAGCTCCTTGGCTGGCTGGGGATCAAACTCATACTGCAGAGGCCACGATTGCTTCATAGTGCTGTGTTAAACCTCTTGAGCCACCAAGGAGGGCCCCGAGAAAGTACATTAGTTGATAATAGAATATCTTGGTTCCCTGCCACCACATATGCAGCATACTTGAAACTTTATTTTACAGGAATGGCGGGTTTTGCGGCAATTGTTGCATATGGATTATACAAATTGAAGAGCAGAGGAGATACTAAAATGTCCGTTCACCTTATCCACATGCGCGTGGCAGCCCAAGGTTTTGTTGTGGGAGCAATGACTCTTGGTAAGTTCCTTCAGGTAATTTTCAGATAGGTTCCCAATTAATGGGTTTCTTTGCAAACAAGCAAGGTAGATACTGACTTTGAAGCAGTTTCAAAATAGCAGTTATATTCATTTTCATGTAAAAATCAATTGTAAAACAGCTCATATAGTAACATAGTTCTTCTGTGATATATCTTACTAAGGTTTTAAAAGAGAAAAAAATCTTACTGGATTTATCATTTCATTGAAGAGTCTTGATATGCAAATAAGGTTATAGTATGATCCTATTCTCTGGGAGAGACATGTGATTGCTATTGTATTGAGTTCTTGAAGGTTGAAAAGATTTTTTTAATGTAGGTATTACATACTTTTGTTGAATTTAATTCATTGACTTTATCTGGTATTCTGTAGCAAGGGTGACTCCTTTTATAGTTGTCAGATAAATATTGCTTGTTCTTTCAAACAAATATTTAAATAGCCTGAGTTAGTCACTTTATCCTTGATCTACTTGGGAAAGTCTATAAGAAGAATTTTAGAAATGTAAATTATTTAAGAACGCAAGAGTGAAGGCATCTTATAATTTTGTTCCTCTGTAAATATTGCATGCTAGCAATGCTGTTACTTTTATTTATTTTATAAACTGTTTATTTTCTTAATATTGAAAATACTTAAATACTTAATTTGCATTCTTTCTCTTTAGGTATGGGCTATTCCATGTATAAGGAATACTGGGCAAAACCTAAACCGTAGAAGAGATCCTGTGTTGGTCTTGGTGGTACTTACTTTAATTAGACATCTCATATTGAGGTTATATGATTGTATTGAAAGTTATTTGAACGGGTCAAACAATAACACGGTAATTGGAATATTGACTTCCTTTCTTGCAGACTTGATTTACCTGATAATGAAATTACTAGTGAGTAGTTTACTAGCTGGGTCATTCAGGGGAGTCAAATTAGCACCAAAAAACATGTAAGCGCTTGATGGTGGTAAACCATTCACCTTCTAAACTTTTCTGATGAAATCAGTTCTAAATAAGACAACCGTCCAATTCTAAAGTACTCCCAATTGCTATAAGATATTATCTACCCCAGTTAATTTAATTTGTTCCTGCCTGCCTCATGGACTGAGCAGTACTTCAGTTTTTAGGTCTGGTTGGCTCTTGAAATAATAATGTAGTGCATGGATTGTGCCATCATAGGCCTTCCCCCCAACTGAAAATGTGTGTGTGTTTAAACCAAACCTAAAAAGCTGACAAGAACTGCCTTATTTAAAAAGTATACTTGTAAACGTGAAAAAAACTTAATTATGGGTTCCAGTTTAGCGCTTTTGTAATTCAGAATTATATTTTTGCTGCTGTTATTTAGAATAGTTTTTAGATGTCATCTTAAAACAGAAGTGTATTTTAAGCCCTAATTTAAAGGTAAATGAACAATACTTTTTCAGTGTGCCGTATGTTTATTTCCTCTGTAAGAATCATAAATGCTAAACTAAAATTACTTAATGGAAGTGGTTAAAGCAGGTTTGATCCAATGTTATATAAACTTTGAGATACTACAGAATGCTTTATTGCATTTGTGATATTCTCTTGTCTCACCTGAATTTACATTCCATGGTGATACATGGTAAATGTAATGTGTTATTAAAGTAAGTGAACACATCCGATATCTTCTGTTTATTTCAAATTAGAAAAATAAAACATTCCTGAAAACACCATAAAAGTTAATTTTCAAGAAAAGATAGAAACATTTCGTACCTTTGGTAGGAACCACAGGTAAAGAATATCTACCAAATAGGAATAATAGCTAACATTTATTGAGCATTTTCTATGTGTCACACATTGCTCTAAGCATTTTTCATCTGTCATTTAAGATCCTAGCAACCCTAAGGAGTTGCTAGTTCACATAGCAAGAGATTTGGGACATGAACAGGTGAAATAATCCAAGGTCGCACAAGCTCAAAAGGATTATAGGTCTGGACCTGGAACCTAGGCACTGGAGAGGTAGGTCTTTCATAGTGATAAAGAATTGTAGTGTTAGTCTTTGTGGAATTCATACTGGAATACAGCCGGTGTCACAAATTAATAAAACGAGACAAGAAGTCTTAACTCACCACTGACTGTATAGCCAGCACCAAATCAGTGTTTACTCAATCTTAACTAACTAAAAACTTAAGGTAATTTCTATAGTCCTGTCTAATAGATCTTTACATGGGTCTGTGAGAAAGTACTTTAAAAATGTAAGATACAATCAAAATCAACAAACAACTATGAACCAGAGATACTCTATGGGGTGTGGGGGATGGGGAAAGGAGGGATAAGGGTCAGAATAAGGGGGTTGTAATTGTATGGGGAATATAAAAATAAAATTTAAATGAAAAAATGTAAGATACTACTAGGATCTGTTTTCTCAGCTTTGAATAGGTGTTATAGGAAACGCTTATAGGCAGTCCTTAAAATTGTTTCATGAAGCTTCTTTTGGAACAAAATTGAGAAGTTTCGGAAAATTATGCTAATCAATGAGTACATTATTTTGTTTAAATACTAGTTTAAGAGACTTGAACTTGAGCAAGACAGGAAGGAGGTTTGAGAGATAACAATTGAGCATTAATTATGTGATCAAGAGAAATTGAGCAGGGGGCCTCCCAGGTGGAGCAGCGGTTGAGCGCTGGGTTGCGAAGCTGCCCGCAGCCTCTGCAGCACCGGTTCAATCCCCGGCTGCTCCCCGGCCACCGGAGGAGGGTCCCACATGGCGCGCAGACCTCTCCTGCCGCCCGCTGCTCCCCTCAGCAGTATGCTTCGGTCCTTCTGCCTGCTCTGCTCCCCGCTCTGGCTCTGGTGAATTCTCTCACCCTCCCGCGCTTCTGATTGTACCCAGTGCTTGTATAAATAAATAAAAATAAATCTTTTAAAAAAAGAGAGAGAGAAATTGAGCAGGGTTGCCTGCCTAAAGGAGAGAATGGGAAATCAAGGTTGTTGAAGATGGACATCAGGTCATGGAAGTACTTAAAAGTATCTCCAGGGGAAGTGATAACTAATTTTTATTGAATCGGACCTCATTGGGTTCATGGTTCTGGCACTTACTATCTGTGTAGTCATCGTTTCTTCAAATAAAGTATGGACCATAGCAGGGCCCAAGGTTGTTGGGGAGAGTAAATGCAGTGATGAATGTAAAAGACAGCTCCTTTATGTGAGTTCATGGCACTAAAAGCATCGGTATACTCAGATGGTCAGTTACCACTGTTAGTGTTCAAGCAACAACTTCAGAGCTTGTCAAGGAAGCCTGGAATTGATTTAATAGAAAGCATAATGGATACTGGGTATAGCATGCAGCAGGAACATCTGGCTGGGGGACCTTAGCCCAGGGTTAGAGTTAGAGAAAGTATCCCTGAGGAAGCCGGGGTCTACCTTAGGTAGATATGTTTATCCTTGCCCTCCCCTCTCACACCGGCCGCCCTACACACACACATTGAGAGAGTCCTTGCTTTAATAGCATTATCTTATGAGGACATTGGTATATGGTTGCTTCCAGGTCTCTCTTCCACTAGTATGTTTGAGCATATGATCTTTCCACCCAGAGCACCCGTCATTGGTGCCTGTCTAAAATGGGTGTTCAGTAAGCGCTTGTGAGTAAAAGTAGGTTTTGGTTTATTGCATTCAGGATCCTGCTTTCCCCAGAAAGCATTTATAATTAATGTTGAACAGTGCCATCTGGTGGTTAGAGTTGGAATTTGACACCACGCTTCCATGTACCCCTAAAATATATTCTGCTTCTGTGCCAGAGTCAGAATTTTCAAGAAGATTGGCCATGTCTTTCCTCTTGTCTCACAGATGAGGAAATGCTGCTGAGAGTTTCAGGAACTGTTTACATCCCCATGTAAACCTCCAACTCACTGCAACATATCTATTAGGCCAGAACAAAGTTGAATGAACATAGGAAATTTTAAAATTCTCATGAGTCTGAGAGCAGAAATACCAGTTATTTACATGTCACACTTTTGAAAGCTCTTCAGACGGAATGGGAAAAATTTGAGAAAGGAAACCAAACGTACCATCCATGCATCCTAGCTTTTTCTTAAAGAGCCTATTTTCCCCTGAGTCACTGAAATTTGTAAAAGAATTTGTTTTTAGCAAGACAAAAGGTGAAAGTCCAGTAGTGGAAGGTGATTCTAGAGTAGAGGCCCATGTCCAGTTGGTCCCCTTAGAGGAACCTAGGAAAATATCCTCTCTAATATTCTGGATCCGGTCTTTTTCCTTCCCCAGTTGAACTGAAATGTCACAGAGTAACTAAAATTTTGCAATGTAAGGAAATGCTGTCATACCTTGTAGCTGGCCTGTTATCTACATTGAGCTTGTCTACCCCAACATCTTTGCTTATGCTCTACTCCTTTCTTGAATGTTCCCCTTCCCCACTCCCAGTTTGGTTAAATTTCCATTTAATTTAATTTTCTGATATATACCATAATTTAAGTGCACACTGTAAAGATCAAAATCAAATTCTACTTTTGCAAAAGGTTCTCTGAATTCTCTAGGCCAAATAAACTTGCCCTTTTCTCAAATCTTGCCATATTTGAGTTTAAAACAAAAAAATACGTTCTCTACTGTGATAATACTTTGCTTTTGTACAGTGCTTTGCCCTATATAATAAATGCTTAATACTCTTCCATTAGTTCCTCACAAAAATTCTGAAGTATGTATCTTTCTGACTTTAGTAATAAGGTAAGCTCTAATTTATTCAAGGTCACACAGTTAAAAGTTGGAACTTAACCCAGACCTGGAGGCCATGGTCATGTTGGAGAGTTTGCACGGTGAAAGGGAAGGCAGGTATATAAAGGATTGCCTGCTCGAGTGATACTTCAATGCTTTCCTTCATTTCCACACTGCACCCCACTCAACTCTGCAGGTCCCAAGTCCAATAATCTTGCCTGATAATACCATAGCTGCTTTATCTTCAGACTTTTTCATATATAAAAACCCTCAGTCAATATTTGTTTTGGCGTTTATTAGGAATCTCAAGAGATTACTGGGGAGATGATAAATTTAAAACAAGTGCAGGAGGCATTGGGAACCAGTCAACATGGGAGGGCCTCCGTGGTGGCCCCAGGGGTTAAATACCGCGCTATGAAGCACTATGAAGCAATCCGCAGTCTCTGCTGCAAGAGTTTGATCCCCTGCCAGCCAGGGAGAAACTCACATGGTGAGGCAGATCTCTCCTGTCTTGCGCTGCTCCCCTCAGCAGTGTGTTTCAGTCAGTCTGCCTGTTCTATTCCCCACTCTGTCTCTGGTGGATCCTCTCACCTCCCACATCTATGGCCTGTACGCAGCTCTTGTATGTATGTAAATAAATCTTAAAAAAACAGGGGAGACGGCAGCTCTTACTGAGACCAGGTGACTTGCATCCAACCATTTTTGTGTGTGTGTGTGGGACCCTCGCCGGCGGCAGGGAGAACGAACCGGTGCTACAGAGGCTGCTGTGGGCAGCCTCGAAGCCCAGCGCTCAACTGCTGAGCCACCAGGGGAGGCCCTATCCAACCATTTTGAAAGATCTTGATATGAGCCAAGAGTGAGCCATTGAGAAATTGGGGTGGGGAGTGAGGGATAGAAAATACATTACCAATCCACTGTGCTGAGGGCTTGGGGGAGAATCAGGGTAAATATCATCCATCAGAGAGGACCCTTGGAACTAAGGATTAGTGAATCTTGGCAGAACATTTTGTCTAATTTTGAGAAACATTTGAAACATACAATGAGATCACCATATGTGCAAACACATCTTGGGCAAAATAGATATGTGGATCAAGTAAGATTTGACTTGTTGCCAAAGTGATGTTAACCTAAAACGAGAAGTGTACTCAGGGGAGTCTGTCACAGGATGGTGACTCAACAAAGAAAGCCCAAATCCATGGTGAACTGAAGAGAACTGGCAGTGTGCACACAGCACCTTCCAACAAGAAGGAACTTGAACCTGGAAAAAATGAACAGTTTTCATCTATGTGGGCACTCCTAGTTGTGAAATAGAATAGTAGCACTTATTAACCCTGGGTCAAAAATAACTGCAAGGCTTGCCTCTGCTCTGAATCCATGTTCACAATATGTTCCTCATGACTCTCTTGGTCCCGGGGGGGTATCTGACTCTTGGAAGGGAGGGGCCCTGGATATAGGCCACATAACTCCTGGCTTAGTGTTCTGGTTTACATGGCAATCACTTAATACTATGACTGGCCAACCCCAAGAGACACTGATAACATAATGTCCAAGTGAGAGTTTGGACCTGCAAAGCTGAGATCCGTAAGTAGAGAGCTCTGAAATGGGGAGAGCCAAGCGGAGCCTTAGTTTAAAGTTGTAGCAAAGCTTACTTCCATTTTGAGGCAAAACAGCTAAATCTGTAAGGATACATGATAACTGAAGAGCACTTCAGTTTGCCAAGCATTTTCATGATCTATTTTGTCATAATAATGAGGCTACTATTGTGCTATTTCAAGAAGAAAGCTGAGGTTTGTGACTCATGACTAGTGTTGTTACAGGGCAGCCCCGATACAAAATGGGGTGCCTGACTGTGGGTCCTCACCCGCGCGCTTAAAAGGACTTATCAATACTCCACTGCAGGCACACGCGAAAGGTTAATAAAAGGTTTATTTACAAGGGAAGGGGAAATGAGGAAATGTACGGCTCAGGGAGAAAAGTGGGAGACAAAGTTTTAAATGCGTCCTACCCGATACCCCGATCTGGAATCCCAATTGGCACTCAGAACACCGCAAGCCAGGAGCCATGAAGCCAGCGAGAGAGGGAGAGAGCGAGCTCCGCAATGCCCATGTGTTTGGTTTTTATACCAACCCTGGCTACTTAACTCCACCCTCAGGTCCCAGCCACCTTCCCTTTGGTGGTGATGGGATTTGTCTTTCCCAATGTCCTGATGGCTTTGGTCTGGAGTGGGGGTGGAGTCCACAAAGCCTGCATGGAATTCGCTTAGAACATCCTTTTCCCCCAACAGTACCTTTGTATAGAACTAAATACACACAAAAATGAATACAACTAAAATTGGGGAGCAACTGAGTAACATAGGTGGATTACATCAATGTCAATACTTGGGTTGTGATGTTGCATTGTAGTTCTGCAAAATGTGGCCTGTCCACATGCTCCTGCATGTCTGGGGTGGGGGGTGCCACATACACCTGCATGTCTGGGGGTACACATACTCCAGCATGTCAAAGAGATGAACGCATCCTGAGGAAGAGAAAAGCAACTGAGGGCCTCCCTGGTGGCGCAATGCTGGTGAGATAGGACAAGCTAGGGTTATTAGG